TGTGAGGCGCATACCAGAAGGGGACAATAGTTTGAATTGTTGCACAGACTACCTACTACTCGTGTGAAAGTGGCGCTCTCTGGTGGCAAGAGTTTCTAGGGCGTCTTCGTTGTATACGAATGCCTCTGACGTAACATCCCGAACAATGGTTTTCTTCTTGTTCCTTCTGTATCAGACGTAGATTATAAAGAGACTCTGTACCTCTATCTCTGCTTCTAGGACATAGGCCAATAAAGTATTAGTGGCCTGTGTTCCACTCGTGTTTTTGATGCCTATCTGCTTTCATTATTTGTCAGTATAATAATTCCGGCATAGAACAGGCCATCCCTTCCTGACCCGTGGATGTCGTAAGAGGAGGCTACGGGATCTTAATAGCCGAGGGATGGGTATTAGCGTCCCTTTTAAAATTACAACAAAATCTAACTGCGGTTGCCAACCCGCCAGCCAAACGGGGCAACTACTAGCAAAATCCTTCTTATGGGGAAGATTTATGTCCAGCAATGGACAGTTAACGGCTGATATGGTATGGTATAGTAGAATTTTTGGGTACTGAGGCCATTTAGTCCTTTTTTTTGTCGAGGGGAAAAGCTTCATGTAGACCTACATAGCTCGGAGGAGATATGTGGGTACTGCCGGACTCTTACCGGCTAAAACCCCCCGGTGTTCCTCGTCCATCTATCGCCGGAGCCGCGGGGAACCCGCTTGAAGTCGTCCGAGACTCCGACGGCGACGGCCCGCTCCTAAGCAGGCCTCCTCTCTTTAGGCCATTTAGTCCTAAGGAATGCAAGATTTATTTAAATTTTTGAGGGGAACCAACCACAGCCGCAACACAGCAGTATGCAGTGTAATGTCTGTATGCATCGATTACAACTTTCCATCAGGTGGGCGTTTTAATCTGATACATCATCGCTGACAGAGCTTGTTAGACGTCGAAGTGTAAGCTTATAGTAAGCAATCGAGAATAAATAAATAGCGGAGATAGCAAGTACAGCGCCCAGCCCAGCGGACGGCCAGGAAGCGTGTACTTATGCCATGTAAAAATAAACACAATTTATTGCCGTTGGCTTCCTTCCGTAATGCTTTGATCTTTTTCTTTTAGGATCTCAGGGTACAGAGGGTTGAAATAATGTTGCAGAAGCTTGCGATGTCATGTTGAAATGTCTAATGATGTCTCATGTTTCAACAAAATATTGTATATTTTTACAAATAAAAAGTTAAATTTAAATGTGACTACGAATTTGTAAACATCTAGTTAAACACCACTGATTATCCAACTAATATAATAAATATGAACAATTTTACAGATGGTTCGTATATTTTTTGACACAAACTGAGATGTAAAACAAGCGATATACATATAATGTATACGAAGAGAGATGTATAAGAATCATTTTCATTTTCTATGTATACCTACTCGTATCGTATTGTTAATCTTTATCATAATTTGAAAGGAAATACAATGAGTTTTTATTAATTTATTCTTTTCTATTTTTATAATAAAAATGTAGTCGAGTTCTCTTTCTTTTTGAGAATCACATTAAAAAAAGATACGTGATTGTCGTATTGATATTGCAATACATGAAGAAAATTCTATAGTTTTATGTAAACAGTGATTTTCCTCATACACGTGACTATGGTGGCCACGTCCACACGTCCACACGTCCACACGTCCACACTACCCCTATAAGATTGCCTTCATAAGTTATGCCATGTGAGAATTGTAGACATACATATATCATAGTAGACTTGTGTAAGTTACGTGCAATATCTCGCTCACGTGTCTCGCACCTTATCATTGTGTCGGTGCAACGTCGCATTGCCACTTACCGCCAGAGGTCGACACGCGCTGCCAACAAATCATGCCTCTATCTGTTTTATGGTGAGAGAACTCTATGATATTTCGTTACGAAATTGCTAACGGATTTACTTCTGAGAGGTAGCGACTAGCTTTTAATAAATCAACTTTTCGTAAAAGGTTATAAGTTAGGCGGTATCTCTTTTAAATGAGTTTCACAAGTAAATGGTAATCATTTGTCTGTACTTTTTATGTGCATCTCTCATTACGATCAACTGTTTAAGTTTATAGTTATTGCAACCGATATGGTTCTCTTCTTGTTAGTTTCATTATAATTTTGTTATAATTGAAACAGCTGTTTTTCTTATGGTTGGTTCATAAGAACAATAGTTTATTAATTTATTTTTTTAATAGATGATAATGGAATGGCAACCTCGCCCGCGCTAACGGTACCTATATGTTGGCGGGGCACCAGTTGGGGATGATAGATGAGAATAAAAAGCAGGTCAGTTAGCTCATCGTGATGAACAGATTTGGGATTCAGCACGATGGTTTCCGGGGGGAACAACGTGGTGGTCGATCTGACAGGATATATTGCTAGCAATAGGACTAGTATTCCGCATTACTAACAATCCCTTCTCTCCAAGAATAAAAGTTTGGCTTGTGCTGGAGCAAAATCTATATGTGGATTCAAGCTCGAATTCGCGTTCTAAAAAATGTCGTTCAACAAAGATTTTATAAATATTTTTTTTTTTAAAGAGTTTCTAGAGGGTTTCTATTCAATATTGGTTTTCTAATAAAATCTAGTTTTTTAAAAGACAATTTTAACGTTTTTTTTTTTATTGAGACTACTTTCAGGACAGTTACATTTCGATGCAAATTTCGTTAAAATTAAAATGTCTACCATTTAAATATTGTCTCTTTAAGTCTTCTATGAACATACTAGAGGTACCTCTCGCACTTACCTCCAAAGATTACCTGTCACAGTTATTTACCTTTGAACCCCTCATGTCAATATTCAATCTAGGTGAACTTTCTACAAAAAATGCGAGCCACTACCACAGTTATAACAATATCTGTGGTCGTGACTCGCATTTTTTATTTTACAGTGATGTTTAGGGCGCGCTAGTAAAAGAGCTCTGTATTTCTAATTACGTAAAAAAAAATTTCATTGTTAATTTTACAAGTAATTACAAATTTTAAATAATCGGTTTACAAAAATATACCAATGTAATATTTAACAACCGATCGGAACAAATCGACAACCGATGCGGAAGAAAGGTTCTTGAGCGGTGACCCTGTACGTGCAAACGCAGTATAGGACGTCCCCCACTAGACGGAGTGACGACCTCAAATGCATTGCAAGGAGTCAGTGGATGCAGGTGGCTCGGGACCGTTCTTTATGGCAGTTTATGGGGGAGGCCTATGTCCAGCAGTGAACGTACAATTGCTGAAATGATGATGACGATGAATGTAATATTTAGTATTACTGGTTATGTAGTAACACAATTTAAAATATTTTTAAGTATTTATAAATATATTGGTACTGAGAGTCTCTATGAAGTTCGTGGACGTAATTGGTTTGTATATAATAACCATGCAGTATAAGACTGTATTTCCTCCTTTAAACTATTTCAATAATCAGCGAAGGTCATTTATATTTATTGAATAGCCTCGCAGACACGGTGACAGATATTTGCGGTACAATTGGTTGATATTTTTATCTGTTAATTTATTTGTTGTCGTAGTCTGTCTGTCTATCATATGTATTGTGGATACGAGTAAGTTATTATTACGATTCTATTATATCCACTGAAACGAATACTAAGTTCAAAATGCACAGCAAAATATACGGGGGTATTGATTTTATGTTTTTATATTTAACAATATACAGGGTGATATCGAAATAATTAACGTGCAGTGTTGTAATTAAACATTTTCTCAGAGCAATATGAGTCGGACAACAGTAAAAAATTTTAGTTAAAAAAAAGCTAATTTTTAATAAAAAAAAAAATCAAAGTTTTAGTCGTTGTGAGTTTTTGTTTGCATGAAATTTTTGTCCTAATAAATATATTCTATATCATGGGTAGATTCTTGATTTTTCATACGGTTAACGACATCGATTACACCCTGTATAAAATTGAAAATTATCCAATTAATAAATATTTTTATACTATTTAGCATAACAAATAAGTAGACGGCCCGCCTGATGGAATATGGAAACCAACAGCTATTTATTCAAAATCATACTCGTACACACACCGATTACATTTTAGTTTTTTTTGACAATTTCTTTTTCCTCAGTAATTATATTACATATACAAAGATAAATTTGATACAATATAGTATTTCTTATCAAACACATAAACAGGAAAGCGGTACTGAATGGATGTTATTAAAATTCTAGGTTAACAAGTGACGGCTTTAAGTGTTCAAATGCACGCATCCGTCGTTCGCTAGTTGACACACGACACGACACGACACGACATAACACACATTTAAATTAAGGTAGCTTGATTGGATTTTGCACGATTAGAGAAACAGGTCACAATAATTATTTGCAATAAAATAAAATGGAGTTAATACAATTATTTTTTTATTTATTTAATTACGTTATTGTAATAGTTATTGAAATATTAAGTGTCATGAATATCTGTCAGATTGTTAATGTAACATACCTACAGTATATGTTATTTTTATTTGTAGATGAATTATAATTAATGAAAATGCAAAATATATATTGCTGTATGATTCATAGATTCAAATTTAATTATTATAAAGCAATTATTTGGTATAAAATTTTATATTTGCTTTATTCAAACAATCAACGTGACGCGTTAGAGAATGTAATTACCTAATACATTAAAATTACCAATAATATAGATAAATAGATATATAATTTATTTGCATTACTTTACTGTATACAAATAACAACAGACAGATAGACACACACGATAGAAAGAGATTAAAAAATACATATACAAAAAGCAAAATACATACAAGAAGTAACGATTTTACCTTTCATACATTGCAAATGAACTATACGTGTATGACGTGGTGTCCACCGTCGCCTGTATATATCTACAGGCGACGGTGACCATCCATCCATCATCCCATCCACTCATCGCGTGGGCCGGCAATTTGATTGTTTTTCTAAGTAGTATAAAAAAAGTTATATTATAATTGGTATGTGTTCCGTTTACAGGTAATCGACTGAACCGTGCCTGCTAGTGGTGATGTGCCTTCAGTGGTAGTGGTGAACGATCGTGTGCTAGTTCTAACTTCGTGTGTCGGCGTGCTAACCATCGCTTCGTGTCGCGTCTGAACACTAAACATTATGGAGCTGAGGATTTACTTGCTGTATTCGGCGGTGATGGTGCTGGTGGTGGCGGCGCGCTCCTCAGGTTGGTGCCGTTTTACTATATATATTACGATTTGTAATTACCAATGCAATATTATTCTATAAAATCATTCATTTATTATATTTTCAATTGATATTGATTATTAAGTCGGATGTAGATTGGTCGATAATGACTTTCAGGAACCCATTATTATGATTAAAATCTGAGGATTTATACATTATTTATTTAGACATTAAATACAGTATAATACATACAAATCGGTATATATTATACTGGGATTTTATACACAGATATATAACTACGAGTACGAGTATTATGGCTGACTTATAAAACTGTTGAAATGTTGAATGTGTAGCAATTTACAAAACAGTTTTTTTTTCGAATATTCAATAATTTTTTCATCTCAAACATTGCAAACATCTTTTTCGTTTGTGTGGTAAATAAATATTTTTACCATATTAGTAATCGAGACCCTAAATATAGTCTGTAACTCTCTACATTCGAATGCACCTTTACTTCGTCACCAGTCGCGCAATACGGAAATCAGTTGTACTCTTAGTTGTATCATGAATGAATGAAAATTTGTTTCAATATGAATTATGGTATCTAAATATATATTAAACCTATGCAATCCGTATAATAAGATTCCTCTATGTTGTCAATTTGTTTGTATGTTGTAATAATAGAAAAAAAAAATTAAAAGACAACAAACACCCAAACATCGCAAATATTAAAAAAAAATTCTTTTTTTAATTTACGCTTGCATCATCATCATTACCTTACTTTTCCTATTTGTTTGGTGTCGACACAGTATAATATACATTACCTATACCATATCTAGTGTCCCATGAATATTACAAATGTACTGCTATTGTAGTACTGAAATATTTGTAATAGCAGTGTGTCTTATTACATGTATGCGCCACGCCACGTGAAGGTCGATCTATATTTTGTAGTTCCGCGTGGGCATTAATTCTAACTTCGATTCCTGTGTAATGCGATATCAACATTGCATTGTAATGCAATGTTACGCCATTGTTTTCAAATGTCACTATGCAAGGATAGAATGAATTGCTTTTTATGATTTTCAACCAGCTTGAAAAAGGAGGTATTTGATTCGGTTTAATTTTTTTATGTGTTTTACTTCATAACCCTGTTAGTTGTGAACCGATTTGGAAAATATTTTTTGTCTCATTGATCCTATAGAAATATCTGGCTTTGCCATCATTGTAGTTGCTTTTTTATGGTACACAATCTTAATATTAAAAATAACCTTTCTTGAATTTCCTGAACAAGGCCTGTAATGAATATTCACGTGCAATATTTATTTGTTATCGTATTATCGGCTTCTCTTGCCTGCTTCGCATTCTTGTAATATCCACTCAAATTGCTTGTTAAATTAATGAGCACCGGTTAACATTAAAAGTTGTTTAAAATCCTCTTATATCTGTATGAAATGTTAAAAGAATTATTTTCTCATTTTCTCTAGGAAGCGAGCGTCGAGCGTAATGTGCGGGTACTGATTGTTAATATCCCCCATACAATCAGGCGGCTTGCATCACGCGCGTATATTTTGTCTTGAAAATGCTTAAGTATTGTACCATGGACATAATAGAGTATACTGTTTCGCCCATGATACCTCCCATGCGTTGCTATTCCTGAAGACTCGGGAGTTATTCTTCTGTACCCTGTAAATTTACTGCCATATCCCACCCTTCAAACCAAAACACAGCCATGTAAATACAACTGCTTCACGGTGGAAATCTAGAGGTAGTTATAGGATTTCTTTGAATGAAGTTAAAATTGTATTGCTAGTTTAATGCGAAGACTCAATCGTTGCATGTACCATTACAATAATGACAAATCTATCAATTTTCTCAAAAATATATATAGATCTCAAACCAACTAAACAGAAGCTATAAGAAGTAAGCTCGATTGCACATAACATAGATTGTACAAACATGAATATAAACATAATATAGAATTGATAACCTGTTAGTTTCTGATAGATCCCACAACCAGTACGATCGATATTAATGATTACATTATAGTAGATTATTGAAACATCGATGATTGAGCTTTAAAAGAGTTTTAACAAAGATTGTCGATGCAATGATGCAAACTATGAGAAATCTTTCAAATTATTTTCCATACGTTGCATCAATGAACCACATGCAAAAGGATAACGTTAAATATTCAACTAAGATCCAAATCCGTTTAAATATAATATTATGTCGTCCATGTACATAATTTACAAATAATATGTTTTTCAAATTCGACTACTGTTGATGGAACTGTAAGGTTTATAATCGACTTCGCAAATAGTATTGAACCAACATGTGAATAAACTATTTTGATTATAACTAAAAGAGGAATCATCAAAATCGATTCAAAGACATACGTTCTTCATTTTCTGAAACAAAAAGTAATTTGCTGTCAAGGAGCCAATTACGTTTTGTTATTGGTACGATTTGCTCGTATGTTGGCCTTATATTGTCGCACTTTCTTTCTGCGAAGTAAAATATTAAATTATCGTTGGCCATATTGGCACTCGATGAGTGCTAGTTTATATTCGGACTGTTCCTGTAGACTGTCTTCCTATCTATTTGTAGCTTGCAGTACACACTGCGTACTAGATCTATTCTCTAGTACAGTGCCGGGAAAAAAGAAATTTCATAGTTGAAATTTCCAACGCATTACGATGAACATTTTAAAATTATTTTAAAAGGCGTCTATGGTTCAAACTTATTTCTGAAAACAAGACGCGAGGCCGCGTGAGGTCACTCCTACCGTATACCGTGGGGCCTACTCGTATTACATATTTTAATGCATGCAAAGTAAACACCGAGTGAATTTGTGTATTGTACACATGTGTGTATATATGTGCACGACAGGCCTTGTACAGTGCCCGTTGTCCGAGCAGGGATAAGTAACTGCGCATCACCATAAAAAGAATCCACTTTCGGCCACAGTAAATATTACTTTTTTGTCTATGTCATCATTATGTATCATAATATTATATTTAAAAGTTATTACTTCTTGTTTATGGCTTCACAAAGGAGGGTGTTCAATTGTTTTTACAATCGATAGAGTTTACTCCTGTCCTCCTGTGCTCTCACATTATTTTTATTACTAACTAACAACTCGCCTCGGCTTCGTATGGGCGCAATATTTGTTTGTATAACTTTTAAACTGTTCAATACATTTTAGTAAGGCTGGTATATTGGCGTGTGTGAAAGTACTACACCATATATTCTCTAAGATTTTGAAATGAATGGCTTATAAAATTTATTTTACTTTTAATTTAAACATGATTTTTTGACTGAGGTATTAAATTTAAATATATGGTGTCGCAGACTTTTTTGTAAAGTTAAAAGCAAAGAATATTTTTGCTATAGATTTTATTCCTTTGTTTCAAATCGTACAGGCAGCGCACGCCATATTATAAAATTTTAATCGACTACAATTACATTTATTGTAATTAATTGTTAAAAAAATATATTTACCAAAATAAAGAGTAGTCTACAGTGCTCAGGCATAATATACCTATCTAACAGTGAAAGAATTTTCAAAACCGGATCAGTAGCACCGGAGATTACCCCGAACATCCAAACTCACAAACTTTACCTCTTTATAATATTAAGATAGATTCTTTTTAGCAGAATAAAGAAACTATGAATCTGTCCAACACATTTGAATGACAACTGATAAAAATAAATAGTTTTTGCTTTGATTACGCAATGTATGAACTTATAAAGGCACTCCTTTGATCTCAAATAAGAAGTGAGACACATTGTGTTTTATTTCTGTATCTCACACAAGGAAATTAAACGGATTATATCGCCGTGAATATTTTCTAAATGTTGTTGTCATATAAAAAATATCCTTAGATATAACACCACCTAATCCCAAACTAAACTGAGCTTATATTATGCGTATTGGATGATTATAAACGTACCGAAATATATTTCTTTCTAAATGCCCAGTATAAACTTCAATCGTATTATTTATTATGAAATAATTGCATACCATCCGTCAGTGAAGCACCGCATGGAAATAGTTCTCATTGCTAAATGTGTAACCCTGTCATTGGCAATCAAGTGTACAATGCACACTCCCCATAACGGGCCGATAATTGTGGCTCTCGCTGACACCGCGCTCGAGATAGAGCCGCTGTCAACTTGACACCTGTCACAATGAAAACCGGACTCACAATTAGATAACAGTAATGTTTGAAGTAGGTCATATTGTAGTTTGTAGATGGAGCGCTGGCTATCGAAAACGCTCAACCGACTGTTGGTGATACGTTACTTTTTTTTATGCAACTTAGAATGGCAAACAAGCTGACGGCCCACCTAATGGAAAGTGCTAAGTATGGGTATAACAGAGTATACTGTTTCGCCCATGATACCCGCCATGTGTTGGTAACACATGGGGGGACTGGTGTTATTCCTTCGTACCCTGTAAATTTACTGTCATATCCCACCCTTCAAGCCGAAACACAGTCATGCAAATCCAACTGCTTCACAGTAGAAACACGAATGGGACAGACGTGCCTAAGCAAACGACTTTTGTACATTGTCTCCCTCTGGTACGTTTTCATAATGTGTAATTTCGCGGTGACCTGAAATTCCAAGGGTACTACTAGGGTATGTGTTGGAGATCAGAAACTTATTCGTGCTTTTTGGAAAGTATTATGATGCAGTTTTTTAGAAAAAGAAACCACAGAGCTCTTCCTTGATGAACCAAAGAAATGTAATTTTATTTTGAATAATTATATATTTACAGAAATATGACCTTGAAACATATCGCTGATAGATGTAAAGTTAATGACCCATAAATCTTATTAATATAACACTAAATCATAAAGTACAGGTTATTAACCTTCGATATAAATGTATCGACCGATCTATGTACCTGATAATACATATTATAATATTTACAGATTATCACTTATATACGTGCACTATGCATCAGTAATTTATCATTAGTTATATTAATTTGTTGTTGAAAATAAATTATGATTAAGAGAGAGAGAGAGA